ATACATACATAAATATACACACGTACATACAAACACATACATACATATACACACATACATACAAACACATACATACATAAATATATACACGTACATACAAACACATACATACATATATATATATACACGTACATACAAACACATACATACATATATATATATATACACGTACATACAAACACATACATACATATATATATATATACGTACATACAAACACATACATACATATATATACACGTACATACAAACACATACATACATAAATATACACACGTACATACATAAATATACACACGTACATACAAACACATACATACATATACACACGTACATACAAACACATATGTAGTGAACTTGACCTGATGTCAAATCAATGACCTTAGGATCATATGGACAGAAACTGTCATTTCATTGATTTGAATCCAGAAATACAGTTTGACCCATCCTGAGACTTTCTTTCTTGAATTAATCAAGTGGAAAAGACAATTCTCTATGATCATTACTATTTTACAAATGTTTTGATAATCAAATTGTGTTAGTTCAAACAATGTTTACATGTTGAAGTGAACTACTCATTTTTATTAACTGTGAAACAGTAAATAATGATCCTTAATCCTCATTCAAAGAAGAAATCAGGTTAATATGCATTTCTTGATTTTTCTGTCTTCAATGAGCAAAGTTGTAAGTGTGTTAAAGTTCAAGCTTCGGTCAACTAGAAAGTTTACTGAAAAGAAATGTCATGTTTAACTTTTACAGCGAGATACAGGAGAGGTGGCTCCACGAAGACTGGTTTTCTCCAACAATCTTTCTGTCTGTTCTTAAACAATCTTAATCTCTATCCTTGACTTTCCATAACACCTTACATCACAAACCACACCTCTGTTGGTGTCCATCGACCAATCAGAGGCTCTCAAACGAACCGGAAGTAGAGCCCATTTTAAATGTGGCACTTCCCAGAGTTCTACAGAAGAGAGCAGTAGAATGCAGAGAGTTTGGGAGTTCGTGAATGCAACCGCAGGCATTCATGGATGCTGCTAAACCAAACAAGCTGAACCAGAGACGATTTTGGGAATTATAACTTCTGTTTGGATAACCTCGCACGGCTCTCGAGGTATTTGGCTGTTCTCACTGAGACGCTGAACAGTGGTTGGAAGTGAGACTCCACGCCGGAACTGATCTATCTTCAGAAAAGGTAAAAGTCGACCTTCACCAAAAGTGTACTGTTTGGGACAAGCTGAGTTCCGAAGGAGCGTGTACGTTCTGGTTAACACAGACAAATTCCCTCACACATCTCTCTGTAAGATAAATCTCAATTTTCCATCTTTAAACTCTCCTTTCTGCTAGAAAATTAATCCAGATGTTTTCATTAATGTCTGTGGTGAAGCAACGGAAAACCATGGCCGTATGGTTTCCTGGTTGTAAAGCTGATTAATTATGTTGTTGTTTTCATATTCTGCCAAATTAATGTAAATGTTTGATGTTAAACTTTGATTCTGTAAAATAAATGACCGCATTCATTTTGATGGGTCAAAGAAAAATGACGTCTCACGTCCACATTTCTGTTAAAATCAACGCACGTACATCACACAGCCCAGAAAGATGAGTGAACCCGTTTTAATTGTATGAATATATCTCAGGACATGTCATACTACACATACATACATAAATATATACACGTACATACAAACACATACATACATACATATATATATATATATGTATATATGTGTATATATACATATATATATATATATGTATATATATACATATATATATATATATACATATATATATATATATATATATATATATATATACATAT